CCGGTCGACGTGGTCTTGCCACGTGGCAGGTCCTGGTTGGCCAGGACTGCTAACGTGGCTGCTGACGTGGTGCACTCTTTTTTTTTTTAACTTAATAAAAATATTTAATAATAATAAAATAACAAATTTTCCGGGCGTTACAGAAATAAGAAAGTTTATTTTTTCTTTTATTTTATTAAAACAGTAATGGAATGTCTATCTATAAGGTCAACATTCTAATAGATATTAGAATAAAATCTTAAAAGAATAAAGAGTTGTAAAAATAGAGTTCATGACTCAGTTACTAAGTTCCTTTTAACTAATTGAAATACGTAACGGACAACTACATAATGAATGCTATATGCAATACACAATTACAAAATGAGCATAAAGAGTTATCATAAACTAACCGATAACATGTATGATATATATAATATCACATCAATTTAAATTTAGATACATAAAGCTGTTTATTAATAATTGATAAACAAGCATTGGGTTGAGAGGAGTATAAGTATTGTTATTCTTTGCCAAGCTTATGCAGAAAATAAAATTTAAGCCATAATTAATTTGAAATAAACAATAACCATATTTGTTAATTAATATTCTATATCAAAGTAATATTGAGAGTATTAAGATTCTAAATATGAATTTATTTGAATAAAAATGAAATAACACTAACAACTTTATGTAAGTTATCTTTAATAATGGTGATATTATTGACATAAAAATTTTTCCTTGTGTATAAAAAGAGCATGATCATATAACTAAACTTAATTAAAGCAAATTGATTAACAATGGAACTAAAATTTTAAACCATGATTAAGGTGTTTGTTTAACTTCTATTTGAATAATTGTTATTTTTTTTACAAGAATAGTAGAAACATAATCAAGATAATAAATTATATGAGCAATTGAAGCATATATTTATTTGAGAAAAAAGAATAATAATATAGTTTAATTAAAATAATATAATTTAATAATAATAAATTTATTTTCCGAAACAAAAAAAAAAATAAATAATACTATTTGTTCCAATTTTTTGAGTAAATATTTATATATTTTACTAATAATATTATTTTCTGCATCATAATAACATAATTTTTTAAACAGTATATCTACTTTTGGAATCTACACTTTTAAATAAAAATAAATAAAAGTCACAAATATGTAATAAAAAAAAATTACTATGTGGTTAGTTAATTTTAATGACATCTTTTAGCAATAAATATAAAGTAATAGATCCCTTGGCTACAAATTGTAGTAACGTCCGTATCTAATCCAACGAAGTTTAAACTTCAAGTTGCTTGGTCCCAGAGGAAAAAACCTGAAACAATGGCGGTTCTTCATCTTCCTTCGTCTCTCGGAACCACATATTCTTCATTATTAACCATTAAATCATCGTCTCATTTCTCTCCGCCAACTACTCAATCCTCAAATTAACAAATTCCACCAATCGGATCTCCGATTTTCGATACAAATCTTTCAATTTCTTATATCAGGAGCTCTTTCCCTTGGTCTAATTCTCACCGGTGAGAATCTCCCTTCCTTTTGATGCTTATGTTTTACAGCATTTAGGCATTGTTCTACTATCTAAAACTATTTTCGAGGCGATTACGCTTTGGTTGAATTTAGTTAATAATCTCTGTATTTTCGTTAGGTTAGGTCCTGTACTCTAATTTTATTATAGTACAAACTTCAGAAATAGTTAAATTGTCGCGTTTGTGTATAGAAGATGACTAAGCGTGGCGACTATTTTTAGTGTTCTAGCTACTGTATTTAGCAGAAGTTATCAGAGTTATGATTTAATAAACGAAGGTTTTGCAGTTGCAGAGGCAAAAATTGGGGCTAACTAGCCAGAATTACTCCCTAGAGAGTTCACTCCCGTCATTGATGTGGCTGGATTCCTCTCTGATGGCCAGGTGTGGCTGCATTTTTCAACCCTTATTACTTCAGCAATATCATAGGTAATGATAGGTGCTTATATCCTTGATTTGGATTTCCTCCATCTTTTTTATTCTTGGTATTAATATGCACTCTTCAATCCTCATGTTTGCTTGTGTAGTGAATTATAATATTTTACAGTTACTTATTCACTTTTTTTTTTTGGTAGTAATGTTGTCTACTCTGTCTTTTGGTAATAAGCTTGTGGTTTGGCCTATGGTTTGTTCTCGTTCATACTTGTAGAAGTTCACTTTGATTCATATTTACCAAGTACATATCAAGAATGTCATGAATTTAGATGGTAATTGATCTGGGTTTCTGCTGTTAACCTTTCATCACCACTTTGTGGAAAATCATTCAAGTTTACTTAGATAGAATATTGTCAACTGTTATGGCGTGCTATTTTTTAAAAAAAAATTATACAGTCTATCCTCCTTCCTTCTAACATTGGAAAGAGAAGAATTAACAAGGTCCTTCAGATTTGAAGACCAACCCCAAGGAAACTCACAAAGTCTCAAATTTAAATTAGGCCAATGTCTCCAAGTCATAAAAGGGTACTAGTAAAAGTACATAAAAATTCTGAAGGTTTAACTCTATAGTTAGAACTTGAAGAAAAAATAACAGATTCAATAAGCCGAATGAAAGAAAACATATTCAATAGCTTCACAATCCTTGAGCTTCATGTGAACGAACATTCTTCAAGATACATGGCCATTTGTCTGGACAACATAGAAAGAGATAGGAGTACTATGGCGAGGTTATAAAGTTAAGGAAAATACGTGGCTGAGGGGATGTGGTCAATCCAAGGATCCTCCCATCACATGAGAGTCATATAGATGAGAAACAGCTTTTCAGGTCTCTTGTAAGAATTAGAAATGTGGTCTTGGAATCCTGATCATTTTGGAGCCCCAACATGCTCTTGATCACTGAATATCTCAAAACGCTAGGTGACAAAGGAAAATGTCGCTACCATTGGGCCATTTTGAAAGAAAATATACTTGCATTTATTGCTATTGCCTCTTTAATCTTGCTCATAGATTGGTACTGCTGTTGATACTTGATATGGTGAGTCATACATATAAAACAAACTATTACATATATAGTCATCGAATAGGTTGGGCAGATCTGAGACCATATATGGGAAAATGATCATTTCTGTTTATTGATATGTTTAATCATGGAAATAGTGGTGGACTATAATTAATGTTGTTTGGTTGAAAACCAGGAGAAAAGAATTGGATGGGAGATCGCTAATATTGAACAGGATACTGGTTTTAAGTTGAGAGTTCTAGCTCAGAATTATCCGGACACACCAGGTGTGCCTTTGGTTTTTATGTTAGTGATGTAAACCTGATTCTTATTGTTCTTTTTCCTAAAACTCCGATATTTTTTTATGTTCTTTCTAATTTTTGATGAAGTTACCAATATAAGTTCATACTGCTTCAGGACTGGCAATTAAAGATTTCTGGCAAGTGGATGATAGGACAATTGTTTTTGTTGCTGACTGTACCTTTGGTAAAGGATTTCTCTTTTGAGTTGAAGCTGATTCAGACTATATCTACTTACATCTTTCCTTGGTCAGGAGACATATCGAATTTCAATGTTGGAGCTTTAGTTGATCTAGATATTCCACATAGCTTCTGGAGTTGTTTGGCCAGGAAATATGGAAACATGTTCTATTGGAAAGAGAAGGCGAACTTCTCTTGTTGCTGGGTTAGCTATATCTTGTTTGCAATGTTCTTCATTGTAGATTTTCCTCTCAGTTTAGAAGATTATGTTGAAAGCATATTTTGCTAGGTTAACTATGTTAGCTGACTGAAACAGGGGGAAGATGCATCTATTGAAGCTGCAGTTGTGGCAATATTTAATTACTTGAAGAACCTGCAGGCTCAAGTAGTTGCTCTGAGGTAAAATAACATGATCATGTGCTAATATAAGGATTATTCTGTTTGATGATATGCTGTGATGACTTATAACATACCATGTAATCTTCCAACAGCTACACGAAACATTGCATTTCATTGTATGTTATGATGACTTTTGTGGAGTATCAGATCTTTATTTGTTGTTTGAGCTTGATTGTAACCT